GAACAATATACAAATAAGAAAAATTTTTAAATAATATTTTTTAAATATTTCCAGCACCAGCATTTTCTTGAAAGCCAGACCCTCCAGTTTCATTAAATACCAATTCTAATTATACCTCCTCTACTGTATGCTGGTATGAACGTCCTGGGTTTGCAAGAATATTATCAAGATTAATTAGTGGATTATTCGTGCCGACTATTAAATGTTGACCTGTTCCTTTTCTTTGGTCTTGTCCAATTTTTTTTTGAATTGACCTATGATTATACAAAGCAACGAAAAATAAAAAAATAATATATACGAAAAAATAACTAGAGAATCATCCAACTTACAATGTTTTAGTGGATTCTCCACTTCTTAGTATATTGTTATCAAAACGTTTATTATCTCCATTATGAATAGCAAGATAAATATCATCCAACTCCACTATGAAGTATTATTACTTAATCGTGTTTTTACTAATAAAGTCAATGTGAGAATTTATTTACCGAGTTTAACTAAAAGTTCTCCTTCCATTGCAGACATTTTTTTTGAAAAAATATATGTGCAAAAATAATATTATTGTTTACTCATCTTAAAAGCTAAAACTGCTTATTTTTATACTATTCATTCGCTAGATCTAAAAAACCTGTTAAAAGAGAAATTACACGATTAGTAATTATGTTACCCTAACACAATCTAGATCCTGCTACATAAAGCAACTCCGCTCGGTCATAGGTTCTAAACACTGAATGCATTTTGCCATTTTTCTGGTAAAATTAAACCCTTAGATTCGACGATCACTTAAGGAAGGTTTAGATCTGACGATCTCGGGAGATGGCGGAGATTTGAAGTCCCTGTAACATATGAATTTTGATAAAACTACTAATAAAGAACGTTATACTCATTACCCTTATAGCCTTTTTAAGTCCCATTCTTATTGCGGGATCACATATAAAGTAAGAAAGGTTCTGGTAATATTCATTATTAGTGCTACTTATTAACTTCATAAAAAATTAACTATGAGAATTAATTCTGCAAGTGATATAAGCCATAACCTAATTTTATATGACTTGTAATGATGTTCGCAAAATTGTCCCAATGCTATGTAGCGATAGTAAATAATTTACCATTCATGACTTATATAAACTCGTGATTGCTATTTTTAGCCTCAACTTAGACCAAAATAAAAAGTGGTCCTGTGGTACTTATTTTTTTCCAGTGCATAAAAATTAAATTACCATGCATGGTCGTATTAAAAATAACGCACATATTTGTTTTTGGGTAATGGTATGTCTTGAAGCCACCTATTTCTTGAATATTATTCTGAATTTGTACATGTTTACAAATATTTTTATACAGATCGCATGTTAACTAAACATCCACATAATGTTTTATTTACCACATGACCGAATCATCTAATAGAACAATTTATTTACTAGGGTGTATGAATATTTATAGCTTATTGTCAGGTAAACCCGTCACTCGAAGATGATACACAGCCCAAAACCAAATATAACGAACTACATAAGTGATTAATTATTACGTGCATGGAGCATAGTTTTTCACTTATATGAATCCTTTTCCCTATAATTTTTAGCTGTAAATTTTATTACTCTTGTATCTTTTTTTTTTCGTTGGATTGTTTTTGTGTTGATAAGATGACTTCTATAGCTACTTGACATGAGTTTGCTTCAGCGAGTTGTGTGATCAAACATGTGCACAATCTTCTTGTTTTAACAGAGCAGATGGCTCAGTGCTTTGGCGATGGTAGTTCATTTGTTCTACAAAAAATACACAATCTAGCCATCTTCTAATAATATAGTCTTCTTCAGTCAAGCAAAAAATTTCGTTTCTATTGAGACAATAGGGCCTCTGACTATGTGAATTATGTTCTAGAAAATAATATGACGCAGGGACTCGTATTAAATGGCTTAGGATCCATGTACTCCCTCCCTTGAAAGCATGTTATATATTTCATTTCATTTCTCAATTTTGAGAGTGCGATTGTCAGATTATAATTGTCTACGTAGCGAGGAGAGGAAGACCAATGAGCTTCCCACGGTTTAATCCACTGAGCTACGGAATGAGAAATAGTTTGAAAGTATCCATCTCATTTTCTTATAAAAATACTGCTTTGAGGGTGTGATCGTCAGCTATCATTGTCTGCGTAGTGAGAAGAGGAAGATCACACAGGCTTCCTGTGGTTTCATCTACTGATCTACAAGATAAGAAATAGTTTGAATGTATCCACCTTGCTTTTTATTTATTATACTTCTTCCTGGGATAGTCATACAAAAAATTTCGTCTAACTTTAGATGATAAGGCTTTTAACTTTATATATATAATCGATATTCATTTATTACAATACCTCTTGCAAAAATTGAATCCGAAATTAAGGAAGTATTAAGTTGATAAAATCTAAAAGGTCTATAAACCGTATAATCGTTAAAAAAATTATTGTCAAATAATCTCAAATATGTCAGGTCTTAGTATTTTTATTATTATCAACAAAAAAGATAGAACACTACCTAAACTCTTTAACAACTATCCTGGGTATGATATGAGGTATGTGCAATCATATATCTTAAATTATTGTGGTTATGGTGGTGAACAACCTGAACGACTTTATGCAACTGAAAGATTATATTATTAGAAGATGGCTAGATTGTGTATTTTTTG